TTGGAGAAGGCATATCTGGATACGTGTTTTTATTTCATTTAATCCCTTCCATCATTGCGCTCGTTTGTGAGGAATGCTTGTTGTATAAGAAGCAGTGTATCGTTATGCATGGCAGCACAGTTACAGCACAGCGTGAGAGGGGAAGTGAAAGGAGAGAACAGGAACATCCTGTCCACATTACTAGAATAGAAATGTATGAGAAAATGATGCAGGCCTAATGTGTCCCCAGTTTGAGCAGAAACAGAAGATGATGTTCTTTGAGGATCTCTGAGTGAATGTACCTGATACAGATGGTCGTGGATTAAAGGATAAAGTGTTGCAGGAAACATCTTCAGTGCTTCTTCCCTTTGGGGTAGAAATGTTTCATAACATGATAAAGATGATCACCCAGAAGAATTTTGTAGAGATTTGCAGATCCCCTAAGACCCAATACGTGCCAGCAAAAAGCCCCCCCACAGCATTACAGAGCCACTGGATCCCCCTCAATGTAGGGGTCAAGCATTTAGGCCTTTACCATTCTTGGTGTGCACCACTTATTGCTGGGTCACTTGTTGAGGGTATAGATGACAATCTGAAATTTGTTTAGGTCAGCGCCACATGTTTTGTTGTTTTTCTTCACTGCTTAACTCGCAGATTCAAATTTGTCTTTGTACATGCACAGCCACTCTCTTATTATATCTTTGTTTTTCCTCACATACTGTACTAATGCGCTAGCAGCACCAAATGACCTTACTCCAGTTGAGCAGTTGGACAAATACACTGACGATTGGGCGAGTTCACCAGCTATCATGAAGATCCATATAGAGCATCCACAGAGGTCAAACGTTTTTTGTGCCAGGCTGTCAACATGTTGTGGTTTGGGTTTGGTTTTTTTGGTTTGTTTTCTCTCTCTCTCTGCTGTAAAAGTGGATGAGGATAGTCTGGCTTTTAGAGCCTACCCCAGCATCTGTTAGAACTGCCAACAGTGTACAGAATGTAATTGAGGAAAAATATTCCTTTTAAAGTATACAAAAATGAAGTGAAATGAATAACAAGATATTTAGTTTACATACTAAAAAGGAGTGTGAAGAAGTGGACATTTATTTAACCTCACCCCTTCTCTGTAAGTAATAAGTTATTTTTCAATACAGTTCTATTTACATAGCACCAAATAACAAAGACGGTTGCCTTGAGGCACTTTATATTGTGAGGTAAAGCTCATACAGCAACACAGCGAAAACTAATGTTTTTCACAGTGACCCCATTCACAGAGCATTTGGTTTTCTGGTCTCTGGACACCACCACAGACTTCAAATCATTCAAGTGCTGATTTTAGCTTTAATTCAAGGGATTTAAAAAAAGTATTGCATTAGCTGTCGCGTTAGCAATTCAGCACAAGAGTTCTTCAATGCAAAGAAATTGGATGTTCTTCAATGGCCAAGTCAGCAGGTTTTCAGCCTCTGAAGATAAAACTGAAGTTAAAGAGAGCCACAAACGAGCTTAAACTGAAGGTGGCTTCAGTATAGGACTGACATGCCATCTGAAGGGAGGAAATGCAGCATCTGGTGATGTCCGACAGTTCTAGACGTCACACAGTCGGTGACTACAAACCATTTTAATCAAACTTTTTTTTAAAAAATTCCTTATTTTAAAATTGTTACTTTTCAGCCTCTAAAAATCGAGGACTGTGTATAAAAATGGTTGCATTTCCTAAACAGTACTTCAGGTAAACCCCTTGATTTAAGGCTGTCATAAATTGTTTTGTTTGCATAGCACTTTCATAGAACTTAGACCAACTCAAAGTACTTTATAGATGACTGAAAAGATGACAAATAAAACATGGACTTAAATAATAAATCAATAATAGAATAGAAAAACTAAATAGAAGTGTTTGAATCTGATAGAAAAGACTATTGCAATAAAACATTGTGGGGGGGGAAAAAAATCATAGGTTTCCCTGTAATCGTCCACTCGCTGTTCTCCTTTTTCTCGCAGGGCAAATCATTTGTGAAGGACATGTTGCGGTGTATGGCGTTGGGGCTGCGGCAGCGTTTCAGCTGCATCAGCCGGCGGTGTTCGGTGATAAAGGAGATGGTGTGCGTGCTTCAGAGGGAGTGCTACACCAAACACCAGCTCTGCCTGGTACTGCGGGATCACATGCACACCGTGGAAAACCTGGTGCAGTTCCACCTAATGTTTCCCCCCGGGTGAGAAACACAAACACACACAAATCAACTACTAACAGCCACAATTTTATTGTTTCGATAGATGGAGATATAGATATAGCCGTATGTACAAATAAATGCATTCACAATTATGTCATTAATTGCTCAAATGGAAAAATGAATAAAACTGGGACATTATTCTATTGTTGATTTTGGCACTTCCTGCAAGTGACATTTTTTTCTAAATGTACATTTGGACAAAACAGCCAAGTATTTATTGATGACCCTGATGTATTCGCATCCTGCCAGGCCATACGTGGAGCTGACGAAATTCCTGCTGAAGTGCGGAGATGAGGTCAGGACGTGGGTCGGACGCCGTTTGCGTGAACAATGCGAGCAGTACTGGGGGTCGCTTTGCAGCAGCTTTGCCGGAAACTGCCCCCTCTGCCAATCTGATACCCTCCACCAAAGCACTTCCCCATCCACCAGTGCACCATGGCTCGTCACTGCTGGGGGACCCCTGCAGCAACCAATCAGAGAGGCTAAACCAGAGGACAGGACCAGGCTCAGTCATATAGACAACACAACAGAATCTGGTTCAGTTGTGTCTGAGAAATCCAGTGTCACTCCTCCATAGACAGATGGAAACTGAGTACACAATTCTATAATACTAGCAGTAGTGGCTAAAAGTATTCAGTGTAGTAATGCATCATAACTTATTCAATCTGCTGGGCATTTGTGCTCCATTAAGGATGGAAGAACAATTATCTACCTCACTTCAATGTCACAGTAGACCACTGCAGCTCAGCAGCAGACACACACACACACACACACACACACCAGGAATCAGTAGGTCAAGTGTAGCTCATGGCTCCAAGTCAGTATCCTGTTTACAAGCCCAGTTCCAAAAAGTTGGGACTCTGTGTAAAATCTAAATAACATTAGAATGCATTATATTTTATTCAGTATCGAACATAGAAAACATACCAAGTGTTTAAACTGGGACACTTTACTGTTTCATGAAAAACACTTGCTCAATTTGTTCCTAAAATGTTGTGATGCTGTGTAAAAGTTCAGAGTTATGAATCTGCTTTTGTATTTATGGAGAAAGTCATATTGTGTACCATGGAGATAACAGATGAGGGGCAGTGTGCAGAAAGGAAAGCACTCATTGGTCAATGTGTTAGAAATGTATTTTTAATGCTCACATTTCATACAGACCCCTGGTGTCAAGAATGTTGTACATTTTGTATTTAAATGGATCAAACACTGTGAACAGTTATTTGAATTTTATTAAAATAAAGTGATACTGATGAACAAAAATCTGTTATTTAAATCAGTCCTATCCTGTTGAACAAGTCTTTTAACAGCACTGCAGTTCAAACTGTGATATTTTGAGTTTTAAGACATCTGCTGGTGCTTGAGATTTTTAAATGAACTAAACCCACAGGGCTTTTGTTTAACAGTCACACAATCTGACACCTTTCAGGGCAACAATCATTCATCGGATTACTGGTTCAGTAGTCTGGAAGGAAGGCACGAAGTAAACAAATTTAAAAAAAAAAAAAAAAAAAAGCACTCTCCTGAGCACATTCACACTTTATAACAAAAGTAAACAAAAACAAAGGTTGGTGCATTTTGCAACCCTGACTAGTTCTGAATTAAAGGTGCAATATGTAGAATACTGGACTCTAGGAGGGCAACCTGCTTTTTTTTTTTTTTTTTTTTTTTTTTCCTCCTTCCTCTCTCAACTGGCCTTTCTTTAATTCTACAGCTTAAGTCAGACACTACTACAGCACAGAAACCAACCATGACTCAACAGGAGTAGATGGAGTTGTACAATGTTGCTCACTTTTCTGTCTCCCTTTTCTTCCTGTCTCCGTAAAAGTGAAGCTCCAGCTGAATTCAAATAAGGTTGCCCTTCGCTTGGAAGTGAATATTTTGCATAAGCTGAAACATTTTGTCACGCAGATCACCTCTTTGGATGGATTTTATTTGCAGCAATAGAGGCTTAAAACAAGCCTCCAGTGGTCCCTTGCTTTAGTCACTGACTCCCAACCTTTCAACATGACTGACATGAGGGCAGAATCACAGACTACGTTTTCTTCCTTTTACGTTGGACTGAAGGGGGACAAAGAGAAATTACATGAGCATACAGGCTGCTGATCTGATCTGTCTTATTGCATTATTAAACCTACAGTGTGCTTTAAGGTATCAACATTTCAAAAATTGCACACAATTTGGAAAATATGAGCATCTGAACCTTTAAGCTCTCTGTATTTACTTCAATTTAATGTAAATTTCAATGTAAACACGTGAATTTCCTCAAGTTCAGGCTTTCTGAAAAAGACCAATCATCCAGAATGATAGAAATGGTCACATTAAGATAACGGAGTCCTTACTGTAACACCAGGTAGGCAGTGTGAGGCATCAAGGAAAAGGCTAAAAAGCAGCAGATCCCTTCTTCAACTGTGACCATTTGCAACATGCGTTCAAACTTTTGACAATGCATTGTATAACCATATCTACTCGAGGCAGGCTGTGGCTTCTTAATGTTTTCTATGAAACTCTGGATGTCAGTTTTACTCACTTTGCTCCTTTCACTGCTGAAGTGGATCTTGAGCTTCAGATATTTTCCAACCCTTCATATTGCATAATATATGTAAGAAGTAACACGTTCCCACTTCACGCCGCCTCTGTGTGCTACAGTCCAGTTTCAGTGCTGCTTCTAAGAGTCCATGTGGTTCATGCTTCTACTTCATACCTCCTACAATTCACTGTGGTAACTCCTTCCAAGCCAGTCCCCACGTCCTTGAGGAAAAACAGATCCAGTGGGTGACGGACCCAGGCGGCTGACTAAATGAAGGGGAAGAGACGTTTCTTGAGGATGTAGAGGACGGTGGCAAAGAAGAGGGCTAGTGCAAGGAAGATGAGCAGCTTGTCTGTCAGCTCCCGCCGGTTGTACTTCAGGATGAGCTTCCTGCCCAGGTGAATGGTTCCTGTCATGCTTTTAAACTCCTCGTTGGTTTCCTGCACCGTCCTGGATGAGGTGGCTGAATAAGGAGGACGAAGAATTAAAGGCATTAAGGGTTTAGGAGGATCGGTTAGGAAATGTGGACAGGAGACTGAAACATAAAATTAGATTTTTACCTAGAGTGCCAATGGTGTCCTCACTCTGCTTCACCTGTTCAGACATCATCCTGCTGATAGACATCAGACTCTCTGTGATGTTGCTGCTGGTTTCCACTAAATTTTCCTTGGTTGCTTTCCTGAGACAAAAACACACACACAGAGCAGAGCAGGTGAAGTACTGCAGATGGGTCCTGACATGCCTAATTTATTATTAGATTATATTAAAGTGATTTATTGGAGACTAGAAGGAATCTTTTTCTCATTAAGTAGTTTAGAACCTTGTGTTTCTACCACCAGTGCAACTAGCTACTCTATTTTTATATTCATTTATCTTTTTTGGTTCATTTGTGCCAGTTTTTAATCAACTTTTTTAAATCACAAATTACCAAAAGCAACAATTAAAGAAATCTTATTTAATAATCGTTCATGAAAGCATTTTAAACCACAGACATTAGACAAAAGATAGTTTTACAGATGTTAACAAGTGTATCTGTATTTCAGTGTACATCAGATTAGCTGTTTTGACATAGTTGGCATACTGTGATTCATCTGATAACACTCCATAAACATAAACACACATCTGTGTAAAACAGAAATATTATTGGTGGTCTGGGCTTAAAAACAGGAAGAAAACAGTGTAATGGTAATAACTACAGGAAGTAGAGGATAGAAGTTACTGACAGAAACTATGGTATCAGTTTGAAAATCCTAAGCAGCCTTGTTCTCAAGGTGTGTATGATGCCTCTGCCCAGCAGGGTAATGATAATACCCCATCAGCCTTTTACAGCTAAACAGAAACCAGGTAAATTAATACAGGTGACATTAATTTCCTCCTGTTTGGCTGCAGATATTCAAAAAACACTGATCAAAGTTCAGACTGCATATCAGCAGCTCTAACCAGGTGTAGAAGTACGAGAATCTACATAACGCAAACAAACTCGGGGTACACTGAACTGTCTTCGTAGTACAGTGCTCTGTAGCAGAGCCTTGGCAGAAACTATATTTACCTATGTCTGGTGTTGTGGTTTTCCCCACCATGCAGCAGTTCGTCCTTCTCCATGTTGTCTATGGCAAGTTTACAAGCCAGGTTAGCTTTTCTCCACGCTGTCTGGTTGCTGAAATCAACAGACAAGAAAAAGCGAACAATTTTGAGACTGAAAGTTTCTGTTTTTGATTTTTTTCCATCTTAAGTGCTCGCTTGTGTCTGCATTACCCGTTTACATTATCATCGCAACAAAACAGAAACCAACAACATGTTCACTGGGACACGAGGCAAGTGATTCAATGGGAAAATAAAATGACTGGTGCTGCACAGGCTTATTTTTTTTAGATGGGTCTGTGTGCGTCTGTGTCTAAACACCTCAGCATCTGCTTCCATTGGCTCTCGGTCTCTGTTTGGATGGCCAGTCTGTCTGACTCTTTGTCCTGCTCTTTGGCCATCTGCTCCAGATCCTGGAAGAAACAAAAAAACAACAACATCATGGCATCACATGACACAGATCCAATATTAAGCAAAAAAAAAAACAAACTGTCAGATGCAGCACTGGGTGGATGTGTAGCTCAGGCCTGACCTGAATTCTGAGCCTCAGCTTGTTGAATTTCTCTTTGACCTGAGCATTGAGCTCCACAAGAGCAGACTGAGGTCCTGGACAATCCCTGATGTCCTACAGACAACACACACACATTGAGTTAAATATAATGTATTAGTTATATTTTATAATTATATCACATCGAGTAAGACATATATCATGTGAATTCAGAAATGCACATATCTCTGTGTGAGCAAAGGAGCTTGTGCTTTAGGAGTATGAGACATCTGGTCCATTGTTATAAAGTGTTTTGTCATTGTACACAGTGTACTGAGTGCTTGGCAGCAAGTCAGACTCATTCCCTGTGAATCCTGGAGTCCACCAGCTCTGCCCCTTTATCATTGATTCTGTTCACAAGTTTTTTTGGAAGACAGTTTCTATGCAGCCAAGAGGTGGAGGCAGTCAAATTCAGTGGACTCAGGATCTCATCTCTGCTTTTTGCTGATGTGGTTCTGGTGGTTGAATCGAGCAATGACCTCCAGCTTGCAGTGGAGCAGTTTGCGGCAGAGAAATGGTGTGTCCACTACACATGAGCTGCTGCCCCCAAGTGGTGGAGTTCAAAGTAACTCGGGGTCTTGAGAGGGGAAGGGGAAGTAGGGGATGTGGCACTGTAATTGCCTGCTGTGGTGAAAAGAGATTTAGTGGTTGTTCTACATTCTGGCCCTCACCAATGGACATCAGTTGTCAGTGATGATCTGGCCAAGAGTGCAGCAGAAATCTAAACAAATATAACAGCTGTATAAAGATACTTTAAATGGCCAAAAGGACTTGATTGATTGCAATGTAATGTAGAACCATAAAAATACTTGCAAAATATGTCATTTTTTATTACTTTATATATGAAATCCATTTTTAAATCCTGTTGACTAGAGCTATTTAGCAATATAACAAAGACATTAGACAAAGAAACATTGGCGGTCACTTTTTGATAGGGCAGGTGTCTCTGCACCTCAGCTCACGTTCCACCATCTGGCTCAGGATATACAGTATACATTTTAGCACATTTTTCTCCATTAAAAAAAAAAAAATTCACATATTTTTTATATTCATATTATTTACATTTTCTAAAACAATTTGTTTTACCTTATTTTAATTTCCCTTACTAATTAGGTAATCACGAACGCAGAACTAAACAAAGAGTGCGTCGTAAAAACATTTTTAAATAACATCTGATAATAAATGATCATTTTCTTCTCTCGGTTATTTGAATAATTAGAGATTTATTACTCAAAAGTATTATAACTGTCTCAGGAATGATTTGTTGCCTAATTAAAATAAACAAAATCAAGAATGTTTTGTGTCTTTTGACTGTCGGAAAGTTAACGTTAGCTTCTTCTTAGCTCAACTTGAAGACTTGTTGTGCGCATGTTCTGCCAGCTCTCCAGAGTTACCAACGGTTCAGAAATGGCTCAGGATGAAAGGACAAACAAGGCGCTCGTTCTTCATTGCTTACCTGAATGAGAGCTTTAATTTCCAGATCATATTTGATAATTTCTTGTGCGCAAATTCGGACGTGAACATCCGCAGAAGACGCCATTGTTGTTTTTGTATGGCAAGCTGGAGGTCCAAAAGAGGTAAAGACGAAGGACCAACGGTAGTCGGATGTTAATAATCCGTGGAATAAATAAATATGTTACTTAAAATGGAACAAAAAAAAAAATTAAATAGGATTTTATCATTCTTTTTTTAAAATAAAAAAATGTTCAGTTACTTATCATTCTGTAGCTCCACTATAATTTTATCCTTACTTATTGGACAGACAGGATCCACACTGAAATGTAAATGTGTTTTCAAATGTTTAAACATCATATAAAACAGAACCACTAAATAATTTTTAAGTTTGTAATATATAAACTATACTTAGAGACTCAAAAGTGGCATTTTTATCTAAAAAAAAAGCTACTAAAAGTCATTCAGCCTCGGCTGTTACTAATATAAATACTCTTTTTTTTATTAACATCATCAACATCATGGATAGAGACTGTACTATTACTTTTTCTACTAAGTGTTAGTATTAACAGTACGTACTGAAAAGGGGGGTCTTGTGTCATTTTTACACCAGCTAATTTTGTGGAAATCCTGTAAAGGAAAAAGGAGGCTCATGTCTGCCCCGTGTTCCCAGCAGTAACCCTGTCAAGATAACAGAATAGACACAGACAGAAATGTCTCCCTTTTTCTGATAGACTTTGTGCTTTGTCTAAACAGCAGCAAACCAGCAAAATATGTACAATACAAGAGTGGAAGACCTATTTTAATGTGGTCTTTTTCGATACTGTTATATACAAAAGACAATAAAACCATGAACTTAATCATAAGCACTTCCTGTTTAGATGCAGCCCTTTTCTGAATGTGTCCAAACCTAAAAAACACATCAGTGAGCCACATTGTTGCTTTGGGAAACGTTTTCTTTCATGATGAAAAGGTTGGGAGGGGGAGAAACGCCATCCCACACACCACTGCGGTGTACATGTAGGGCATCAAATTATATTAAAGTATTTTTTAAAAAAGAATCAAGGAAATTATATATGTAGTAGAAGCAGCTGTCTGCTTTCAGTTGTAGTCTCCCAATGACATTTGTTGGTGGTAAAAATAAATTTAGAGCCATCAGCAGAAGTGTTCCTATCAGTGGTTCTCTTTGGCTGGATAAAGGCGTCTCTCCATTTCACAGGCACTACTAGTGGAGGAGATAATATGGCATTACTCAAAAATCAACCAGAAACACTGGTGAAGCTCTTAAGTTTTCACTTCTGTGTAAATAATCATTCTGTACATGCGATAATTTTTAATCCTACAACTGTTTATAACTTGTATAGTTCACATTTCTGTATAACTGTATATCTCAGATTTCTGTATAGTTTTTTATTTCATATTTATATCCTGTTCATAGTCTGTACATAGCTTGTACTCACTACAGCCTGTACATAGTTATAGTTATAGAATATTCATAACATACTTCATACCGTGTACATTATAACATATCATAATAGACCCATTTCTGTAATATACTTACATATCTATATTATTGCTAATATATATTGTAATATATCTATATCATGGCTAAAGCACTTCTGGATGGATGCAAACTGCATTTCGTTGCCCTGTACCTGTGCATGTGCAATGACAATAAAGTTGAATTCTATTCTTATTCTATTCTATTCCATAGCGTACCAAGAAAGTATCCCCTACAACATTACAGCACCGCCACTGTTGATATAAGAAAGGGTGGATCCATGCTTTCATGCTGATTGCACCAAATACTTACGCTGCAATTTTAGTGAGCCCATGCTGATTGTAGTCTTGGTGTGGTCTTCTGCTGCTGTAATATTGGATCTGTTGTGTACTCAGGAATGCTCTTCTGCATATCTTGTTGAACTCTTTATGAACTCATTTGCTTAAAATATCTTTTTAAGCGACAAAAAATTCAAAAATCATTTATAAAAATCAGGTTGGAAAACTCACACACACTCGGTCAGTTAAATAAACAAGATTCCGACTGGGGTGCTAATGGTTTTATTGTTTTGATATTAAAATCAATAAACATAATCAGACTAACGTGGTTACAAGCAGAGCTGTGGTACCAACTCCTGGTTGATACAACAGAGAAAAACGATTTAAAAAAAAAAAAGAAGAAGAAGAAGAACAGAAAATAAAGAGAGAGGCACAATTACACAACAGAGATTCAGGGCAGGTGTCTGCAGAATGTCGAGCAGCCAGAGACAAAAACTGTCAGAAGCTCTGAAAGAGAATCGGGCTGTTACAGTACAAACCAAAAAATAATAATAATAAAATAAAGGTCTTTTACTTTTCCATGCCTGTGCATAAAGCCACCCACTGTGCCTCCAAGAAGAGAAAAAAAATTAAAAAATAATAAAAATACAACGTTAAACAAAAAGTTAGTCAAAACAAAAGTATAAACCCAGCACAACATTTATTACACAACATAAATATAACAACTGTCAAGATATTGTATTTGAACAGGCATATATGTGAACTACAAATATAGACGTCATTGCTAAAGAGAGGATCAAGTTAGTTTCAGCAGGATACACTTTTTCTGCAGGTTTTGCTTCTTTATGAAATTATAATCACCAAGAGATCTATTATAGAGCACTTAGCAATGAAGTACAGCCCTCCTACTGAGACTGGGGAGAGGAACACACACAGGACTAACTACAGAAAGATCCCATGCTGTTGATCGAGTCAAATACCATACAAGACCAGAAGCATCGTAACAATGGCATGTAGCTGTGGAGCTCAGTATGGCCGATACCTTCCACATCCGCTACATGTTTGGACTTGTATGGATTTCCTATTATAATCCTCCGTCAGTCTGTCATTATTAAAATTTATAAAGAGAGAATAGTAACCAAACAGATGCCGTCTTTTTTCGGTAAATGTCTCTTGCTCCATGCATTTTGGCAAGTCTGGAAGGAGATGTAAATCATTGCAGTGTTTGGATGATGAGTTGGACGTGTGTAGAAATAGAAAGAGGGGTTTTCTTTTTTATTATTATTAAGTGTGGGTGGTTGTTTGCTTGAATCAGTCTGCCGGAAGAGGAGATTAACCCTTCCCCATCATTCATTGCAAAGGGGAAGGTGAGGGGTCTCTGCCCACCAGCCTTTAGTGGCCCCTGGCTAATCTCAGGGGTTCCCTGACAAGACAACTGCGAACCAAAGCCCTTCTGAAAAAAATTAAAATTAAAAAAGCACCTAGAAGGGGCAAAACATCTCTGGCGCAGTGGTAAAGTTTTACTTCCTTAAAACTAAATTTTCCCCACCAAAAGTTAGAGACCGCAAGCAAGCCAACTCCTGACCTCAGCTCCGTGGCGGTGGAGCACCTGAACCTCAGCCCAGAGTCATGACCAAAGAGTCACCTGAAGGCAAGGTTCAGTCTGGTGACCCACCGAGCTTTTCTCAGGACTTATTAAACTTCCGCTTCATGGGCCCCACAGACAGCGATAATTCAAACTCACAATGAAACTGTAGTCTGACTTGGACCGGTTTACTTAGAAAATAATGAATTATTTTTATCTCATTAGACCACCTTCAGTCTTAAATCTGCTTAAAGTTTCATTTTCAGTCTCCATCTCTCATCACAGCAAACATCTGAAGTCTCTTTTGGTTGCCTGGCCAAAAGAGAGTCCCCATATATATCACCTAAAAAAACAAACGTGCATTTGTGACTATAAAGTACTGGCAGAACTGCCCTACTTTGTTTCCTGTTTCCAGTATTTGTGCTAACTGGCTGCTGGCTGCAGTGACATCAAACTTCTCAGCCAAGTTATAGTAAGAAAACAAATCATCTACAATTTAAAAATGGTTGCAATGCTCCTTTAATGGAGGGAGTCATTATTAGACTATTATGCAAGAGGATGTCTGGGTACATGTCAGCAGGGAATACCTCATGAAGCTCAGTCACACCAATCATAACTCTATTTGCACAAAAAGAGTAAATATTTGTAAGTAATAACTAATATAGGACAATTCCTTAATTTTAGTTGGATTCTCATTTGACTTTTTTTTTAAGTTTGTAATCGTTATGTTAAAGTGTCTATTTTCCAATTTGTGATAGGTGAGCTCAGTTTATTTAAATCTAACTGAGGATTAGTTAGTGACATTTACATCTCTAGATGCTATTACAGGTGTGTACATAAAAGCTGTTTACAGAATAGGTTGAGGGGAAAAATTAAGATATACTTCCCATTTTTTTTTTCTGACTTTTT